TTGATTTTTTTATGTGAATTAGTGGCGTTTTTAGAATAACTCTTATGTTCATAAAACACAAGTTGGGATTATGGCTATCAAACTCAAGGTTGATTGTGTTTGCTTGAATCATTTCCAATGCCAACATATTATACTGAACCTCTAAAACGAAAAGGGATTTATCTAAACCAAATGTGCAATACTTGTGAAATTTTTGTTTCATCCTTTATGGACGATTATATAATAAACAAGGGCATTTATCCAACCATCTGATAGATACTATTACAATTGTTATTAATGTCATAACCCTTGAAATTTCTTTGTGGCATCATAATAATGTTCGGTCTGCCCCATGTTAGAAAAAAAATTTTTTATCAACAACTTAATATGTATAAATCAAATGAATAAAAGAAATTTTAAATTTAATAATACATTATATAATAATATATGGAGAAAGCTGGAGAATTGTTTAGTAAACGAGGATAACAATCAATAAATAATATCATAATAACAAGTTTACAAATGAGGAAGAAAGTGAGACATTGAGATTTTCATTTGTGCTTTTGAATTCTGCAGAAGGTATCACTCAAAAACTCGATTAATAGTGCAAGACATCATCGAATGCTGTGCCAAGTGCCAAAATTTTCAAATCAATGATATTCTTTGGTATAAAAACATACGACTTGGTCACTTATATACTAATCTATTCAGCCAAACGTATTATTATTACGAGTTTCCTAACACTGCTATACCGACAGGATATTTTCTAATATATTCTATCAGTTTATCATAATATTTCTGCCATAACAATGTTAAAGTATTGTAATTTTTGATTTTTCTTATCCGGTGATTTTTTGATGAGTATACATAATAATGATGATAATAATAATAATAATAATAATAATAATAATAATTAGACATCTGAGAACCATACATGTGAAATTCTATCATGTTAATTAACTATTTAAAATTAATTCGTGCGTTATGTAAACTTGCTTACTTTCTCTTCCACAAGTTTATAAAATATATATATATATAAACTGAACTGGCAAATGCAATGAGCGCAGTTGTCAGTAATGGTAATAATGAAGATCGTACAGATGCAGCGTACAATATTGAAAATATTGACCATGAGAATGAAATAGAAGCAAATAATGAAGGTGATGATGGTGAATAATTTTTATTCTTTT